AACATATATACATATATATATATATACACATACATATATATACACAGATATGCACATACAGTGTAGCTTGATGGTAAGGATGATCGATCTCCTAAGGGTACATTTGCATCCTTGCCTCTTCGGTCATCTTCGGCTCATCCTCAAACACTTTCGATGACCAGCGCCGCTCGAAGAGCCTCGGCATGGGCTTCCAAGGCCCCCGCATCCTTACCGCGCATCCTGACTATGTGGGTTCACTGTATGCCCAGGCGCCCTCCGATAAACTTTGCATGTGCCTTCAGGGAGGGCGGCGGTGTGGTGTGTAAAGTCGTTGGCTCTCGGTGGTGATTCACATACACCGCCACCCTCCCCCTGAGGCCCATGGACAATCCATTGGAGGGTGTCTGTGTATATGTTTGGAGGCGGATCCACCGGCAAATCCTTTGGCCCGCTGCAACTCTGAAGCCTCGGATCCCCGAGGAGATTCGGGAGGGAGGCCTCGAGTCGGCGGCGAGCGAGGGGGGTAAGCGAGAAGGAGAGCGGCGGAAACATGTTCTCAGAAGGCCAGGGGACTTCCGAGCCTTCTGAGAAGGCCTTCTCCTTCTCACTTCCCCCCCTCGCTCGCCGCAGATCGAGGTGGCAGGAGTGGGCATTTTCCTGGCAGGCCATTTACCTCTGGAGGCCTCGGGAGCTCAACTGCCCAGATACGCAACACGCAACCCGTAGCGTGTGCTCAACGCGCTGGTTGAAAACGTACGTCTGGCGCGATACCTTCGCCAAGACGAGGGCCAGCACGTTGAGCCAGCACGCAGCGTGTTCAAACTGACGTTCTGAACACGGTACGTGTTCCGCTGCAAGACCGGCGTATCAGGGCAGCTGCTACACTCTGGAGACCTCCGCGGGGACCTGCAGTGTAGAGGATGCGCGGAGGTCGGCTCCCGGTGAGGCACTGCAAAACTTACAGACCCCTCCGGGCCCCTCCAGTGCCCTGGGCTGTCAAGGGACGTGCAAAGACATGTATTAGTACTGTTCTCCTTGGAGGCGCGTGTCCAACCCGAACATACGCATAATCATATAGTATACGCATCTTGTAGTACATCGTTTCCCGAGCGGTGTGGCCAGAAAGCGCGCGCCACAACGCATACACTATAAGATTTCTCGGTGCGCGCATCGCCCACGGGGGGGCGACGCACACGTAGTATTGGTATGTTGGGTGACGCCGATGTCAGGTGGGCCAGGGCTATGCCCTGAGCTCCCCACTGCAACGACGGAACGGGGAGGGCCCACCTCTCGAGCGCCGCACCCGACCAGCGTCAGGCACGAGCGACCTTGGGTAGGGGCGTCCAGCGCGCGTTACCACTGAAGGGGCCCAGGGGCCCACAAATTCGCCGGCCCAACGGGCCAGAGACGTGCTAAGATCTCCGGCAACTGGTTAACAATATTTCTAGTTCGCGCGCGCGGGGCGGCCCCTGGGGATCCCTGGACGAAAAGTACCCCGGCAAGGTCCCGGGCGGTCCGACGCAGAGATGGTTCTCCTCCTGGGCGCGGCCTCTCAGGCCTCCAGAGCGCGGCAAGAGGGCCCCAAGAGGCCCCCAAGACTGCCCAAGAGGCTCCCGAGACGCCCAAAGAGCGCTCCAAGACGCTGAAGATGACCCCAAGACGGCCCAAGAGGCCTCCAAGTGGCCTCCAAGAGCCCTCACAAGAGGGCCCCGAGAGGCCAAAATCATGAATGTTACGATGGTTTTGGAAGGATTTTGGCCTTGTCGCCTTTTCGGCTTTCCGATGCTCCAAGACGGCCCAAGAGGCCCCCAAGAGCGCCCCAACACGGGCCAATTCCAACAGGGCCCCAAGAGGGCCCAAGAGGGCCCTGAGATGGCCCAAGAGGCGCCCAAGACGGCCCAAGAGAGCCCCAAGACGGCCCCAAGAGGGGCCCAAGAGGGGGACCACGAACCGAAAACGCGAGCCTTCCGCCTCAAGAGGGCCCCAGGAGGCCCCGAGAGGCCCCCAAGAGGCCCCAAGATGCCGCCAAGAGGCCCCTAAGAGGCACCAAGGCCCCCAGGAGGCCCAAAAGAGGCCCCACGAGGCCCCAGAAGGCTTCAAAACTGCTTCCCAGGCGCCCCCCAACGGCTTCTCAAAAGACCCCAAGAGGCCTCCCAAAGAAACATCTTGACGACGACCCTGTTTGGCCCCAAGAGCAACACAAGATGCCAACGAGAGGCTCCCTCCTCTGCCCCCTTCTCTTCCTCCTCCTCCTCCTCCTCCTCCTCCTCCTCCTGCTACTTATCTTCATCCTCCTCCTCTCCTTCTCATCCTCTCCTCCTCCTCCCCTCCCCTTCCCCATCCGCATCTTTCTCCTCCTCGGCGGCGCCACAATGGCCCCGAGCCCACGGCGAAGCAGTAGCGATCATGCAATATGGGCCGGCGGAATGAGCGAAGCGATTGAATAAACAGACACAAATCCAAGGATTCCCCATCATTTTCAATATTTTCTGGGTGTTCGCCTTCCCCTCCACTTCCCACATGTTCCCATATTGTCCTGGGGGTCGACGATGAATTGCGTCGGATCAACCGGGGCCACTTGGCGTCAATGCCGCAATGCTGCTGGCCCGTCACCGTGCCGGCCACCAAAAAGAAATGCTAGGGGGACGATGCCCCGCGGTCCGCCGGATAGCCGTGGCGTTTGCCAGCCCCCCCCCCCTCCCGTTTAGAGGCTCCGTCGGGCTCCGCGGGAACAGGGAGGGAGAGAGAAAGAGGAAATGGTGAGAAATAACAAATGGGCGACGACGAAGAGGACAGACGTCCGATGCCTTGGTTTTTCAATTCATACGGGCTCCACAGGAATCCCGACCAAAAGGTCGGCGTTTCGTCCTCATGAGCCACTTTGTTGGCAGCCCCGAGGCCCAGCGAGGGCCGACAGAGGCCGCAAACGACGACAACCAATAGTCGAATTTCTCCGAGACGCAGGCTATTTGGACACGGAGACGACGAAAAGAAAAAAAGACGACGACGACGACGACGACGACGACGACGACGACGACGAAGAAGAAGAAGAAGAAGAAGACGACAACGACAACGACGAAGAAGAAGAAGAAACGACGACGACGACGACGACGACGACGACGACGACGACGACGACGACGACGACGACGACGACGACGACGACGAGAGGAGCTGCGCAGCAGGTCCCGACGGCGGGCGCGGGTGGCCCCGGCCGAGCCGAGCTCCGCGCTGGCGTCGGCGGGCCCGCGGCAGCGGCCGCCGCTGCTGGCGGCGGCGGGCCAGGGCGCGCCAAGCCCGCCAGGGGCGCCGCAGAGCCCCAGCAGGCGGAGCTCCGCGGCGGCAGCGGCGCGCCGCACCCCTGCGGCGCCGGCGGCGGCGCGCCCAGCCGCGCGGCGGCCCGCGGCGGCGGAGGGCTGCCCGGCGACGTGGCGCCTGTCGCCGACGGCGAGAACACCGCGCCGGGGCGCGCCAGGCCTGAGGGGGCGGCGGCGGCCGGGCGCGCCGCCGCCCGGCGGCGCCGGCGGCCCGGGGCGCGCGGTCGGAGGCGGGCGGCGCCGGCCCGGGGCAGCCGAGGCTCCGCGGCGGCAGGGGGGGCGCCCGCCATGCCGCGCTCCGGCGCCGGCGGCGGGGACACGGGCTCGGGCCGCGCGAGCCCCGAGGGCGGGCCGCGGCGCCGGGCCGCGCGGGGCGGCGCGGAGGCGGGGGCGGGCCCGCGCCGGCGCAGGCCAGCGCCAGCGAGGGCGGCGCCGCGCGAGAGGGCCCGCGGGGCGGCGGCGGTGCGCCCAGGTGGGCGCGGCCTGGCAGGGGCGGCAGGGCGCCAGGCCGCGCGGCGCCGCGCAGGGGCGGCGGCGGGCCCGCGCCGCAGGGGTGCGAGGCGGGCGGGGGCGGCCCGAGGCGGGCGGCGCCCGGGGGGGGCACGGGCGGCTCTGGGCGGGCGGAGCCTCGCCGCGGGCGGGGGGCTTCCGGGCCCGAGCTGCGCTGACCCCCGACGTCGTGACGTTTGTCATGCCGTCGGCCCCCAGGGGTCTCGGCACCCAGAGATCCAACGCATTGAAAAAATCAAGCCGGAGCTTCTGCTAAGTTTTTGGCCTCTGGGGGCCCTCGCCGGGCCCCCGGACCGTCAAAAAACAACTCAGACGAAAAACCGGTCCCGGGGAAAGGGCAGGGACTTCCAGGGAGCCCGCATTGAAAAAATCAAGACATCGGATGTCTGGGGAGGTCTCGGCACATTCCCCTGCAGGACCGGTGTTTCATCCCGAATCGCTGTTTGACGGTCCCGAGGCCCGGGAAGGGCCCCCAGAGGCTAAAGCTAGCGCAACAATTCGCGCCATGAGTTCTTCATGGCTCGACTGGGTAGAGAGCAAGAAAGAAAACACCCTCATAATGAGCACCCCGACAGGCGAAGCCGTGTAGTAAACGCACCCAAGACATGAATCGAACAGGGCAGAGCTGTTTTGGGTGAGCAGCCCAGGGCCGTTTAGTAAACGCCAATTACGAGTCGTGGCGAATCCTCCTCCCTTGACTCTTGACAAAGAAGGCCCTCAGATACCCCGCAAGAGACCCCCAGCAGGCCCCCAAGAGGCGAGGCCCCCCGAGAAACCGCAAGGGACCCCTTGGAGGCCCGTGGTGTACGACCCAAGCGCGGTGGTGGGCGCGCCGGAAGCCACTGCCCACCAACCACCCTGTGCTTGCCACAGTGGTGCCTGGGCGTGCCCGAATTTTTGCGAGCACGAGGACCACGCGCGCGCGCCCCTGAGTTCCGGAGTGGCTCGGCGCTTGGCGGGCGCAGGGTGCAACGGAAAACGTGCAGGAGAGAAGTGGACTAGGATCACCAAGAGCTGAAAGAGCAAGCAGCCTAAGGCTTATGATGTTCCATCCTACTTTAGCCTCGATCACCGAAAAAATCCGAGCACCAAGAAAGTACCGAAGCTTGGGTTGTTTTAGTGTCGGGCCCTGGGAGGCGACACTGTCTCGACACTGTTTTGACACTCTTCTGGGTGCTCGAATTTTTGTTGGGGGATGTGGTCCTGAAGTACGATGGGAGCAACATAACCTAATGCATGTGATCGCCCTCCGTCCAAGCACTCCCCGCGCTGCGCGGGGCCTGCTTTCCAAACGCGCGTCCAACCTCGAACAATCGACTCCCGATCAGACTGACTACGGAGACTCATGTGTACACCTCTCAGGGTCAGACTGGTTGGCCCATCGATGTGCATCCTGGAATGCCTCTGCAGCGCTTCCACAGATGCAGGAGATTACTGACTCGTTATTCGCGCTTACTCGCGGGTCGCAACTCACCACATTCGGCAGAAAAGCCCAGCAGTGGGTCGCGAGCGCTGGGCCTCTGCGGGCTTTGAGGCCATGTGCACGACACATCATGCTGCATCGGCATCTTGTGTAGAGGCCTCCTGGATGGAGTCAGAGTAGATGGGGGCGGAGGATCGCGCCGCATCGCCGATACATCGGCGATACATCGCCGATGCATCGGCGATGCATCGGCGACGCCAGCGCGGAGAAACTCGGGCTCCACATCGAGTCGCATCGCCGATGCATCGACTCGACGATACGGCGCGATCATCCGACCCCATCTACTCGGACCCCACCTAGGAGGCCTAGATTGTGGACGGCCTGAAATCTCAGACGACCACACGCAAACTAGCTTGCACTCGCATGCCCTGTGCCATTCGCCAACGGTTGATCGGCAGAAGGCGCGGGCGAACGAATGTGGTCTTGAACTCGTTCACTGAAGCCGCTAGAGCTCTCTTGGAAACATCTTGCAGCCCTCTTGGGACACGATGGGGGCACGTTGGGGGATCTTCTGGGGTGCTCTTGGAGCCTCGAGGAGGCCCGGAGGAGGACCGTGTGGGGGCTCCGTGGATCTACAGTAGGGGCGCGACCACAAGAAACCGTCCACAAGAAACCCAAACCTGAGACCACAGGACGTCCACTGATTGTTGGTGTGGGAGCGTCACGCTTTCCATAATTAGCAAAACCATCGAAACCCAAGAAACCCAGGGCACCCTGGAGGCCAGCAGGGTGCTTCTTGGCATGGGTCTCCACTGTGTGTCAGAGCTTCTCGTGGCCATCACAGGGCCATCGTGGGGCCTGAGGCGCGCTCTCTGGAGAATGCGGGAGGACGAGGAGGGAAAAACGAAGAGGGGGATGATGAAGATCAGCGCGGCAGGGCTTCAAAGACGCCTACGGCGAGTTACCGCCGCCCCCGGCCATCGAGAAGCGCCTGTGTGTGGCCGAATGCCGCACAGACGCATCGCACTTGGGACCGACACTCGATGTACAACTCCCTCGACTGTGGCAGCCGTCTCGGGGCTGCCTTGGGGGATCTCTGGGGGCCCCGTTGGGGGGCGCCCTGGGGCCGTCACGGGCCGTCTGGATGCCCTGCGGCCCCTCTGGGCCGTCCAGGGCCCTGACGCGCGAGAGAACATCGAGCGAGCGCTTCGAGGGGGCTCAGGCCTTCCTGGGCGCTGCGAAACCCAAACAGCAAGAGCAGGCGAAAGTCGCCGAATACAAAGCATTCGATCAACGTGCTCGCCTTGCGAAGCACTCTCGCGGGCGCTCCTGGAGGCGCCCCCCTTGTGGGTGCTTGTGGACCCTTCGAACCGTATTGGGGCCCATCCAGCAATCCCTTTGTCGGAAACTGGGACGTATACATTACCAGGGTCGGGTTGTTTTTCAATCCCAGGACTTTCTGAGGATCGGGGACGACGTCGGGGTGGTGCGGTGTATACTTGTTTCCCCGTTTTTCCTATGGGAACAACGAAGAATGTATACACCAGGATCCCGTATACACCAGGATCCGCTTTCCTGTGCGAGATTCAGTGTGAGGCCAGACAAAGGCGTCGGTGTGAAGAGTTCGGCTCCCTACTCTGGGCCATCTCGGGCAGCCTCGGTGGCTTTTTGCCGTCCTCGCGGGCCTTCGTGGAGAGCTGCTGGAGGGCCCAAGATCCCTCTGGGGCCATGGGAGGAGAAAAAAAAGGCCGCTGTCCATCCAATGGTGTTGCGCGGGAAGGAGTCTTGAACAAGTGGGCCGCCCTGGAGTCAGGCCGGGCGAAACGGGGGGGAATCAACTCACGTAGCTGATTTTCCCGGCGCCTCCAGGCGCCAATAGGCGCCCATGTATCAAGGAATGGGCCCGGCGCTGCATGCAGCAGATTTCGTAGTCCCCCCTATCCATATCCCCCCCTTTCGTCCAGCCCGACTGGGGCGGGAGGGCTCGAAACGTCAGCTCGGATTTCCTCTCTTGGGCCCCTCTTGAGGCCCTCTCTGGCCGTCTCTGGGGCTTCCTGGGCCGTCCTGGGGCACGCTCTTGAGCCCCCTTGGGGCCTTCTTGGACTGTCCGGGAGCGATGTTGAGGCCCCTCGGGCCGTGTTGTACGGTGCTCAGACGGAGAACGCGGGTGTCCAAAAAATGGGCGCTCTGCGGATGGTCTGGGCCGATGTATGGCGCAGGGTTGTTGTTGTTGTTGGTGTTGTTGTTGCTGGTGTTGCCGCTGGTGTTGTTGTTGTTGTTGGTGTTGTTGTTGTTGGTGTTGTTGTTGTTGTAATTGTTGGTGTTGTTGTTGTTGCTGGTGTTGCCGTTGGTGTTGTTGCTGGTGTTGTTGCTGGTGTTGTGGCTGCTGGTGTTGCTGTTGTTGTTGCTGTTGGTGTTGTCGTCGTTGTTGCTGCTGTTGTTGTCGGTGTTGCTGTTGGTGTTGTTGTTGCTGTTGTTGTTTTTGATAGTGGTGTTGCTGGTGTTGTTGTTTTTGTTGGTGTTGTCGTTGTTGTTGCTGTTCCTGTTGTTGTGTTTGCGGGTGTTGTTGTTGTCGTTGTTGCTGTGGCTGGTGTTGCTGCTGTTGCTGTTGCTGCTGTTGTTGTTGTTGGTGGTGGTGGTGGTGGTGGTGGTGGTGGTGGTGTTGTTGATGCTGTTGCTGTTGTTGCTGCTGCTTCTTTTGTGCTCCTCCCGCGGCGCACACGGGGCAAGCCTCCTGGGGCCGTGCCCGGAGCCGCGCTGCTCGCCCCTCGCCCCGCGCAGCGCAAGGGCTCACAGGGCGCCCCGCCGCACGGCCCTCTCCACCGCGCCGTGCAGCTCCCCCGCGTCGCCGCAGCCGCCCAGCAGCTCCGCGGCCTCCACGGCCGCCTTCGCGGCGGCGGCGGCCACCGCCGCGTGGACCGCCTCGTCCCTCGCCGCCGAGGGGGGCCCCTCCTCTCGGGATCGGCCAAGAGGGGGGTGTCCAAGAAGGGGGGTGCAAATCATGACCGGCGACATGTGCGCGGCCCAGCGCCATGAAATATGGGGAAATACCATGCCCCCCGCCATGATATCCACCCCCACCTAGCCATCACCGCCCTCTTTTCCGCCCCCGATCCTCCTCCTGCGCGAACCAGACGAACTTGCCGTACGGGTCGCCCGGGCCCGCCCACCGCGGCAGGAGCACATCCCGGCCGACCTTCCGCAGCGAGCAGATCAGGCTCTCCTCGGCCCGGGCCCGCGTGAGCGTGGCGTATACCCTCTCCTTGCTCGAGGTGTACGCGTCGCCCATCACCTGGATGAAGACGTTTGCCATCGACACCATCAGGATGAAACCGAACGCCATCATGGACAGGTAGGCGAAGCTGGTTCGAAAGCCGTCGGGCGCGTCGAGGCTCGTGACCGCGTCGGGGTGCTCGTCCAGGTCGAAGGGCTCCGAGACGAAGAGCCTGGGCTTGAGATCGCCCAGAAAGCCCATGCGATAGGTGTCGACGAGGATCGCCGTCAGCGGCAGCGTGGTCAGGGCGTACGACGCCTGGACTACCGCTGCCATGACGACAGATGTCACCAGGAGGAACGACGTTGCGTCCTGCCACGCGGAGATGATGGGAAGAAACCGCTTCCCGACGAATTCGAAGGATCTCGCGAGGTACAGCAGCTGGATCCAGCAGATCGTGCCCGACGCCGCGAAGGCGGGGGCCGCCAGCCTGGGGTAGTGGAGGAGGGGGCCCCTCAGCAACATCACGATGAGGCAGAGCACCGCCGCGCACTGCACCCACCACACGACCAGGCGGCTGCTGCCGAGGAAGGCGACCAGCTGCTCGAGTCCTCCGAAGAAGGAGCGGAACCCTACGATACAGATCAGGATCTTGTAGACCGTCGCGATCCACCCCGAGAGAAGCACGCCAAAGAGGACCCACTCGGGCCACGCCCAGAAAGCGGTGCTCAAGGCCGTGGAGCGCCCGTGCCGGTACGAGTCTGTGAATTGGAAGATCGGCAACATCATGCAGATTATGGTCAACATCTCCCATATAGTCTGGGTGTAGCACGTCTGAAAGGCTGCCGTCACGATGGCCTGAACGTGATGCGACTCCAGGACGTCGTCGTTGGTCTTGGGCATGAGCACCAGGCTCCTCAAGACGACAGGGTGCGTAAGGCCTTTCTGCATCAGCCTGCACACCTTCATTGTCACGCAGCCGTCCCTGACCGGGCTGTTAAAGAAGGGAAACCCGTTCTGCTTCATGAGGGCCTCGCCCACATCGTGGCTGTCGGGGTCTTTTGGGAAGAGCGCGGCGTTCCCGACCGCGGCGGACGGGGCATGCTGGCGCACGTGGGCGAAGCTGTGGACCGGGAAGTACGAGTTCATGCTCGCGTCCTCGAACCAGTAGGCGAACCCTCCAAGGCCCTCGTCGGCGAACCGCCCGGGCCCGAAGTAGCAGAACTGCCGCGCTCCTTTCTGCCGAAGGGCATCCAACGTTGTTGCCTGGGGCTTCAGGTCCGCGTTGCACTGATGCGCCAGGTCCATGTCGTCCCAGGTCCTCTGTCCCATTCGGAGCGCATGCGAGCTGACATTCGTTGTGACCTGGCTCACTGCCAGGCACTTGTCTGCGAGGCCCAAATACAGGAACCCCCCCGCAGGGAACCCCTCGTGCGGGTACACGTAGGCGAACTTCTTCGTGGACTCTGGGGCTATGCCGTGCGAAATCTGGTGCTCTATGATCTTCGCCTCAGGGAAGTCGAACAGCGACGTAGCCGGCAAATTGAGTTCCTTGAGTTCCCCAGAGGTTCCGAACGCTCTGCTGCGTTTCACGGTCAATCTACCATAGCCATCTTTGGGATGGTAGACCATGTCCTCGCCTTTCCAGTCCACCCGCGGGGTTAGGTACAGAGCACCGAACCATTCAGGAAATCCTCGGAAGCCATATTCGATCGATTTCAAGGTGTCATCCTTGCTCCCTTTGAACACGACCATCTGTTTTTCCGAAGTCTTCAACCATTCATGCGCCTTCACCGTGGGGACGATCAAATAGTTCGATAGCAGGCGCGCGGATGGCGTTGGGGTCCGTAGGAAGCCCCGATCAACTCTGCAGAACTCAGCCTTCGCCTCAGTCTCGTCGTTGCTGTTGAAGCGCTCCCAGGCCATGGAAAAGTAGGTTCTGGCGAAGTCTACGTACATGAACAGCGGCATCTCGAAGGTTTCTAACCATGGCACTAAATGGCCCTTCAATGCCACCTCCTCCAGCACATGCTCCCTGCATTGACGCGGCCATGACAGACCATCACACGTCACCTCCAGAAGCTCGTTGAACCGATCTCCCCGATCGCCTTCCTCGATCGCTCTCTTCTCCGCCCTCCTCAGCCGAGGCGCCTCCTGCCTCTTGCACCCAGACGAGTCGGAGTCAGAGCTGGAGTCCTCGGTGCCCAGGCCAGCGTATCGCCCCCCGCTGCCCCTGCTCGCGAGCCCCCTGCTCTCCCCGCTCTCCCTGCTGAACCGCATGGGGCGCGCCGCTGGGGGGCATCGCCGCAGGGCCGAGACCCGGGGCGACCCCGGGGCCCCGGGCCGGCAGCATCCCTCGAGCCCAAAGGGCTACCCAGAGATGCAGCGCAGTGAGAAAACAAGACGAAGGTCTTCCGCAGCTTTCGGCGTCTGGGGGCCCTCGCCGGGCCCCAGGACCGCCAGAAACGACTCAGGATGAAAAACCGGTCCCGGGGAATGGGTCGAGATTTCCAGGGACCCCGTATTGAAAAAAGTCATCACATCGGATCTCTGGGTACGGAGTGTCTCAGGGCCCTCTTGGAGGGCCTCTTTACGCGCTCGTGGGGCGTCTTGCAGGCCATCTTAACAGGGGCTATGTCGACCCCATATCCCAGGCTTCGATGGGTGTTCGAATGGACCAGCAATTTGGGGCCCAACCCTGGGATATACGATGGGGGGCGTCCATCCTCGATACGGGGTGCGTCCGAATGGCCCGGTTGGGGTGTATTCCATGGTTCGCCTCCTTGTCTGAGCGGCTTCATTGTTCGTCGAAAGGCTGAGGGTTGGGGGAGAAAAATCGCCTTCGACTTGGGAGTGATTCGGGGCTCTCTTGAATTGCATCGACGACGGTCTGCCCCACTTGCGATAGTGGTCGTGGCCCCTGCGCCCCGGGGCCTGGTCCCCCGTTAGATGCACGCCAGAACCGCGCGCGCGCGCTTCGCGCGCTTGTGGGCCCAGGCAAGGCCGTACTCCCCCACCCCCGAATCCCAATGGATCGGGCCGGGCGAGAGGGGGGATAGCAAAGGGGGGGGGTGAAAAGCAGCTCACGTAGCTGATTTTCCCGACGCCTCCTGGCGCCCATAGGCGCCCATGTATCGAGGAATGGGCCCGGCGGCGGGGCCGAAGCCGGCTGCGTGCCGCAGCATTCGTAACCCCCCCCCTTTCTCCCTATCCACCCCCCTCTCGCTCGGCCCGAGCGGCTGCCATGCGAAGAACCCCACTCGCCCTGAGCCCTGCATCCCCCTCCGTCCGAACCCTCCCGTTCGGCTCGTCCGTCAGTCGTCGTGGCGTCCACCGGCCGCACGCCGAGCCCGGGGGCCGCACTGCCCGCCCCTGGCTCAGAGGCAGCCCTGACACACTACGACGAGGCCACCAACGGCAGGGTGAGCTCCTCGAGGAGCTCCCCGGTGAGCATTGAGCTCCACGCTGAACGTTCTAGGTCTCGATCACACAAGGCGTCCCTCCTTTGCCTCCTCCACCGCTTCCTCCTCCTCCCCTCACCCTTCCCGCTCCCGTCTCGTTTGCTCTCTTCGGTCCTCCCTCCCCGCCCTGCCCGCGGGGGACCTCCGCTCCCTCCGCCTCCTCCGTGCGCCACGCTCCCCGCCAGAGCGCGGTCTCGGCGACGCCGCGAGGGGCCTGCGGATGTGTGCTCTGGGGGAGACCTTGCGGGGCAGCCTTGGGACATCGAGGACCAGTCTCTGTCTCGAAGGGATCTCGGGACACCCTCGTGGCGTCGACATCATCCTTGGCATCGAGGAGTCTCGGGGGCATCCTTGGGGCATCCTCCGGGCATCCTTGGGGCATCCTTCGGGCATTCCTGGGGCATCGAATATGTTGTGGGGGCAGCCTTGGAGCATCGATATCGTCCGGATTGTGTCGAATAATCTCGGTAGAACAATACTTGGGGCATCCCGGCGGGTTTGCGGGCCGCCTGGGGGTGCGCGGTGCCACCCAGCCCTGAACACGTTGCGAGAGGAAAGGGACGCAGGATACCCTCACAGCCCACGGCTGCGGCCCCATGAAACCGAAAGAAACTAAAAGGAGAGAGTGGATGCGATTCCTCCCAGCAGAGTAAGTGTGGAAACATTGGACAGGATGCCATCGCAACTCCATGGCCGCGGTCCCACCGCACCCAAACTCTCTGCGAGAGGAAAGAGATGCAGGGGACTGTCACATCCCAGGGCTTCGTTGCCACCCAGCCCAAACATACTGCCAGAGGAAAGAGACGCAGGGTGCCTTCACAGCCCATGGCTGCGGTCCAACCCAGACGAATGTTCGCCGCCTCCCTGTTCAATGTGTTGCGGGTGCACACCTTCGTGCTTAACGCAATGACTCCGAAGTCCAACGGTGAGGCCGTCTGGATGGGCATGTCGGGCGCGCTTGGTGCATCTGGGAGCGTCTAATAATTGGAACTGCCCTGGAGGCATCTGGGAACATCTGGAAAACATGAAGAACCAGCTTGGAGTCCCTTTGGACGGTCTCAGGGCTGTTTTGGAAGGGTCATGGCGCCTCTTGCGCCGCTTTCGGCTGTGGGGCAGCCTGCAGCAGCGGGAAAGAAGGGAATCTCACTGAAAGACAATTGGAGGCCCACCGGATGGGCCTACTGGGGCGCTCTTGGAACGTCGGGGAGCATCTTGAGATAATGGAAGCCCGAGTGGGACTGCGCTGAAGGCCTTTGGAGGCATCCTGAAAGCCTGAAGGATCGGCGGACGCATGAAGCCAGACCCAAGCGCGCACGTCGCTAATTACTATCCCCGTCGTCGTCGTTGCCGTCGTCGTCGTCGCCGTCGTCGCCGTCGACGTCGTCGTCCGTCGGCGGCGGCGTCGCCGTCGTCGTCGTTGTCGTCGTCATCGTCTTCGTTGTCGGCGGCGTCGTCGTCGCCGTCGTCGCCGTCGTCGTCGTCGCCGTCGCCGCCGCCGTCGCCGTCGTCGGCGTCGGCGTCGCCGCCGTCGTCGTCGTCGTCGTCGGCGCCGCCGTCGTCGTCGTCGTCGTCGGCTTCGACGTCGTCGTCGTAGTCGTCGTCCTCTTCTCGGGATCCCCAGCGGGCACGGTGCCCATGGCCACGGCGAGAGACCGCTCTTGCGCACGGCCGCCTCCCCCCCCCGCCCTGCCCTCGGCCTCGGGCCGCTCGGGCCCCGAGCGGCCGCCGGGTCAGGGCGATCGACTGATGGGCCTGTTTCCCACCACAACCACCACAAGTTGGAGGGGGAGGGTGTCCTCCTCCTCCTCCTCCTCCTCCTCCTCCTCCTCCTCCTCCTCCTCCTCCTCCTCCTTCCCCCCTCCAACTTATGGAGGTGGTGGTGGAAAACAGGCCTATCATCGACAGAAACCTCGGAGGCGCAGCCGCGGAATACACATGGAGCGGAGCCGAAACCCGATCGCGCAGCGCAAGCGATCCTCACTGCAGGCCAGGGACAGTAGAGAGCAGGAAACGGCAGTCTGGATAAGGCCCCAAAGGATCGGGGTCCAGAGGCAGGTAAACGGTGCACTCAAGCTCGGGAAGACCCTGGGCAAGTCCCCGAGCGCTCTCAGGCCAGGCGCAGCTGCTGCGAGCGCATCTCCCAAACCCCCAGAGATCCTCCGATAGGAATTGTTCGATCCGCGGTCCCGGAGCTCGGGGGGCAGATCTGCGCCCCAGACCCGTCCTTACCGGTACCGCTGCTCCCCAGACCTTTCGGGGTGCGTTCTGATTTGGAGTACCAGCACGGGGGACATGCTCCAGAACAGGGACATGCCGTAGACGGATCTACCCTTCCTCCGACAATAACTGCGGCGGACGCAACGGCCGCGTTGCCTATAGACATATACACCCCGAATGCGTCTGCATACGTTACGGCACCCAATGTGTCCGTAGACGTTTGTGACTAGAACGTGAGAACGGTATTTTGCCTAGGCCCGAGGTATTAATGTTCTAGAAGCAGGTAGACTAGGCCCTCCAACCTCTGACTATAATTTTAAGGCGAATCCAGCCGCGGCGACGAGGGCCTCCCGGGAGGCCTACAAAGACAAAGCGCATCCTCAATACATCGCCGATGCATCGGCGATGCGTCGGCGACGTCGGCGTGGAGAAATTCGGCCTCCGCATCGAGCCGCATCGGCGATGCATCGCCGATGCATCGCCGATGCGGCCTGATCCTCCGACCCAATCTACTCGGACTGCACTTGGGATTGGGAACGGCAATAAGGTCTGGCTCAAAAAAAATGATTTCGACGGCTGCTGGGGCGAATCAGGTCGAGCTGGGTCCAACAAACCTTCCTGGAAACCTCCAGGGGGAGGCCCAGCTTTTCCTGCTCGGAGGAGAAAAGCCTCTGCGAGCCCAAGTCGGCGGTGCATCGGCGCCATCGGCGTGGAGAAACCATGGCTCGACATCGAGCTGCATCGCCGATGCATCGCCGCTGAGGAGCGGTCCTCCAATTCTATCTACAGGGCAGCTTCTAATACATAGGATTTTAAACTTATAAGATTTTAATGCGTGATTACTTTATGCATCAATTTATGCATGAACCCATCGTTGTTTTTCTTACTAAGTCCCTGCATGTGTAATACATGATCCGCACGCGGAGCATGTATTAAAAACGGCACTGTAGCATCGCGTGTGGCGGCGGCGGCCCCGGCGAGTCGCTGTGCCTTGCGAGCGGATAGCGTGTCGCTCCGCTCTGTGGGGCTGGAGGCTCGGGAAAGCTCGAGGCGCTGACGCTGGGGGATCGGGAGGTGGATAGCATATCGCGCCGAGGCGTGGTGGGCCAGGACAAACCGAGCGCCACGCTATCCAGCACTCCCGACCGCACTTTGACCCCATCTGGGAGGTCAACGACAAGCTCGTGCCGTGAGGACCCCCGCGTTGGTTGCCGACACCGCGTGGATCGCTCGACCCTCAACCATCGGCGGCACTTCGAGCGCCACATCGCGCCACATTGGCCGAATCTGGGCCACTGGCGGCGTGCAACACCGAGCGCCCCGCGGAAGAGCCGCCGCAGCGACACAGCACGAACCTGTCGTAAAGAGACTCGATGTGCCCACCGTGCCGGAGGATGTCTGGGACCAGGCAGGGAGACGGGCACCATTTCCGCCAGCTTCCTGGGGAAACCGACAAAAACACGGAGAGCACCAGGGCACCCTTGCCAAATCGACCTTGAGCTTATACCTCGGTCCGACTGTATTTTCAACGAGCGGTGTGTTATCGCGCATCCTTAGTGGGGAAACCAACAAGTACCGATACCGCTAGTCCCTGGACCTCTCCCGGGGTGCGTTCTGACCAGAACTTCGAGGCGAATCCAGAGGTGGCGACGAAGGCCTTCCAGGAGGCCCAAGAAGGGGAAAACGGGGCGAAAGGTAGCAATATGGGTTGCTGTTCATCTGGCT